TTTCAAATAGGGTGCGAGATCCCGGCGGATGGCCTCCACTTTTGATTTTTAAAATGCTGCAAATTGGTCACAAGAAATGCTAGATGGAGGCCAATCGTGACCAATTCTGGATAGGTCGAGTACTATACGGAAGTGTGGCCACCTACATCCGTGGGTCCATCAACATGTTGGGACATGTCCAAGGAAGCCATGATTTCCAAGAACTCAAGAGCTGGACCAGTAATTTCCGCCTACACATGGATGTTCAAATCACCCAAGACAATCACTCTTGGGAATCCCAACAGAGTCACGGAAACAAAGTTGTTTAGCTCTGGTAGGGAGGTGGCTGGATCATGGGAAGCATGGTATGCTAGCAAGACCCCAATACCATCCTTGGCCCCAATCAACATATAGAGGGCCTCTAGACCCAGCATCACTACTACAGAGAGCCTGACAACCTCAAAGGTGTCCTTATAAACAATGGCAACTCCCCCCCAACCCTCCGGTCTACCTTGATGCTGGACAGCATAACCGGGGGGACAGGCAAGAGACAGGGAATGACATAAAAAACTTCAGTAAATAGAAGTATAGGGTGTATGTATATGTATTCTCAAAGGCTTTCACAGCCGGGATCTGTTGTTGTGGGTTTTTCGGGCTCTTTCACCATGTTCTGAAGGTTGTTCTTCCTAACGTTTCACCAATCTCTGTGGCCGGCATCCTCAGAGGACAGAAGTCAGAACTCTGTCTGTACTCTGGTGCAGTTTGTTTGGCTAGTTAAGTATTTATAGCTGTGAGATCAGCTTTTGCCCTTTTCAGGAGATGGGTGATTGTGGTGATCAGAGTGTTTTTTGTTGTGGGTGTATTGTTGCGATAAGAGGGATAGATTATCTGTCACTGTGATTGATGGATGCTGTTAGCTGGCCTTTTGTGCGCAGTGATCACCTGTCCTTGTAGCTGGGTAGAGTTTGTTGACCTTTTGCAGGCTGTATTTATCAGTGCTGAGAGCCAGATTTTTTTGAGTTTTAAATGTTCTTCTTTTTTGTTGACCAGCAGAGCTTCAAAATGCTAATCCCATGGCTACAAATACTCTACTATCCCACACACTACGCCAGAACACAGACAGCGTTCTGACTCCTGTCCTCTGAAGATGCTGGCCACCGAGACTGGCGAAACATTAGGAAGAACAACCTTTCGAATTTGGCCAAAGAGCCCGAAAAACCCACAACAACCATAGGGTGTATATCTTTGCTTATATTGGAAAATGGAATTGTACAGCACAGTCTGTATATAAATACTATATGTGCTTATATGGGAAGGACTAGAATGTGATATTTGCACAGTGAAGCATTCCGACCAATCAGAATCTGTCTGGCATCAGCCAGAGAGGCATATAAAGCAAGGGGCAGTTAACAGGTCTGGCAGATGGGCACAAATATGTGATAGGGTTAGGATGGAGCTGATTGGCTTAGGTTGAAGGAGTTGGTTGTCTGTTATAGTAACTATGGTGATCAAGTTTAAGGATGATATACAGTGGTGCTTTGCATAGCGACGATAATCGGTGCAGCAAAAATCGCTGCAAAGCGATTTCGTCACTATGCGATTACAAAAAGCCCATAGGAATGCATTGAAACCCCTTCAATGCGTTCCTATGGGCTTCAGACTCACCTTTAAACGAAAATCCTCCATACGGCGGCCATTTTCGCTGTCC